CGGAGGGTGGCGTGTCGGGCAGGCAACGATCGCGCGCGATCGATCGCCACCGGCTGGACATCGAGACGGCCGCTGTGTACCTACAGTCCCTCATGGATCCACGGTGGACGACAGGCCATGTGATTAATCTGAAAAACAATCTGTGAGATATTGCTTCAACTGGCAATCAAAGGATGGCCATGTGAGTGAGGTCCTAGCTACTAGTAGCCATTAGCAACCGAAAGCAGCATTAAAAGAGACATGATATTATCCTTAAAAAGGGACATATTTGTGCACGCGGCTGTTCTGATCAACGGTAAAATAAAAGAAACTTTCTCTTATTTCTCTTTGTGTGAAACATTGACAAATGTTTTGGCAGCTCACATAAAGAAACGGAAGGAGCAGGGGAGACACTTAGTTTCATTTCTCCCGTGCGTCTCCTCTGTTGTTGCCTTCCTCCTCTCTTCCTCGATTACGGTGGTTGCGCCTCCACCTTTACCGGATACAGACAATCCCTCCAACCTTGTCCCAACCTCTAAACCCGCCTCACTCCAGTGGCTCAGTGAATTATCTTGTCTCATTCCCGTGAACTCTGTCTTAATATATTACTCCCTCTGTTTATTTTTATAATACCTTGAAGACATTTCAAACAATGTACAACACAAATCATTTTGAGTTGTCTGAAATGACTCACAAAAATAGATGGAGGGAGTATTATTTTTCGTCTTCCCACCTTTTTTTTAGTCTAAACCCTCGCATCGCCAACAATGTTTCGCCTCCCCTTCATATCCGCCAGCTTCAGCGTCGCCAGACACAAAGACAAAGAAAACGAGGCAATTTTGCTAAGAAAAATCGACACCCGGCCCAGCAAACCCATCAAGTTCGAACCGGACAAAATTTGAAAAAGGTGCGCATCTACGAGATGCATGGCCGGCAAAGTCAACGAGGTTGGGTCGCCCGGCTGGTGCATGCGCGGTGACCTATAAATTGTGATAGGCATGCATGACCGAGATCATACAGTACTACCCAATTAGCAAGGATGGACGGTGCATAGCAAGCCACGTAGGTGTTCAAGAGAGCACATGCAGATAACATTAATCAAACTATATAGTATACTATATTTGTGTGTACGCAAGGGAGTAAAGTACACATGCACACCGACCGGTGGACCAGTCCACCGACCGGTGGACCTATCAATCGGAACCATTTCTCTGCCGTGGTGTGTTCTTGCATCCACACGTAGCCATCCGTGATTCGGTGGCAGGCCTGTCACCTCATGCATGTGCATGTGGCTTTTGCTATCAAGCCACGTACGCAGGCATGGCAATCATATATGTCAGCATGCAACTGCCAGGAAAGTGACAACAAAGATGGGATCTGCACACGCAATAGGAGTATACTACGAGCCGATATATAGGCGGTACTACGTGAGATTAGATTTGGCGCCGGCTTCTAACTCCGATCTGTTACTAATAGAATTTGTTCACGGGATCATATTCTGAGCATGCGTGTGCCGTGCTTTTCCTCTGTTTTCAGCGTTGGAAACTCAGGATGTGGCCCTCTGCTAGTTCCTAGTGCATCAACACGGCAGTGGCACCTCTGCTCACTTAAAATGGTACTGCTACATCCGTACATCTCTATATTTTGGCCCGCATCTATTATGCGTGCTCACTTAAAATGGAGAGAGAATATCACGTGAAAACCAAGTATCAAAAAAGATTTCGTGAAAACCAATTTCCAAACCTTAAAAGTCGCAAAAATATAGGAAGTTAAAAGGGTGATGCTCTATTGGCATGTGAAATTCTAAGTTCAAACGCATTACCATTTGCAAGCTATGGAAAAACAAATTCAATAATGAACAGTGATGTTTACTGTTAGACACTATTCAATGTTGATTTTTTTTTCATACATCATAAATGGCGATGTGTTTAAACGTGAGAGTTTCATATCCTAGAAGAACATCGCACTCTTAACATCCTTTTTTTTCTGAGATCTTTTTAAACTTCGAAACATTATGTCCTTGTTGTTTTCATCGTTCTCATCGAAACTGGGGTTTCTGATATCCTCTCTAAAATGAATATGGATTTGCTTCCTCTGCCATGATGTGTTCCCTCTGTCCTGCTTACCCTTCTTTTCTAGTACCATATTTCTCACCTTGAATTCATTATGTTGTATCAACGATGTGTGTACGGTACATCAGTGGCGAAGCCACGTTATAGCTGGGTAGTCAAGCTACTACACAACAATTTGGAACGGTGAAGGATCTGCGTACCCCACCGCTAGAATATTTTTGGTTCTAGAAAATGACTAAGAGCATCTTCAACAGGCACCCAAAAACTGCTCCGCGCACTAAAATTTGGGTTTTTGGGCGCCGGACAGCTTCAACAGAAACTGTAAAATAATGCACGCGCAAAAAATGATTGGATGCGTGCTGAAAAATGATATCGCATGCTGTAAATTTAAGGCACCGGATTGCACGCGCTTCACAATTTACACTACGTGTTTTTTGGACGCGCGTTTTTGGGCATCGGATAAACCAATGTTGAGTTCGGCATGCTAAAAATGCTACAATGACGCGCTAAAACTATTTTAGAGCGTGAAACTTTTGTGCTCGATGATCTAATAAAGGCCATTTGTTTATCCGTTTTGCATGTGATTTGGCTGTCCCACATAGCAAAGAAAAGTACACACGTCACACGGACGCCCTAACTATAACTTCCCTAATCAGCCGATCCTTAAATCCCGTGATTGCTCTTTCTATCACTACTCTCTTTTTCACCTTCCCATGTAATCCCTAATGGCCAACGGGACACGACGCCGGCAGGGAGGAGCATATCACGTACTCTATGCGCATGTTGCACACTAAGCGCCGCCTGCCGCCCGCCGCCGGGAATCATCACCGTGAGCACGCCGCCTAAACCAGTCTCTGAATCTATCGAGTACTGTACCTCCGGCGATCGGCAAGTGCTGCAGGAGTCTAGCACGAGGTCCTTTTTCTTCTTTACTTTTTTTGAACCAAAGACCGTAGAACAATCGTTCTACGGTAATTTTCATTCAAAATTTAAACAATGTTATGTACAACAAAGAAAAGAAAATACAGAGTCGTGCCCTCTAACCAATACCAGCTTTAGAAAAATCCATGAAAGATTAAGTTAGATTATCTATAATCCATCCTCTGAAAGCCTCTTTGTGTTTCTCTTTGATTCTCAGAAGAATCAACTTTAGGTCATCTCTGAGAAAGTTTCTCCACGCTTGAACTGATGGGTTTTGAGTTTTGAAAATTTTGAAGTTTCTCTGCATCCAAATGTGCCAGCAACCCATCGTGATGATGCTCATTGCAAACTATTTGGGTAAATGGATTAGCAACAAATTTATCTCATCAAAAGCATTGATGCCTCTGACTTTGAAAGGAACAATTAAATCCCAGCATTGCAGAGCAAATGGGCAGTCCCAGAGGAGATGAAGGCTGGTCCTTTTTCTTCTATCTGTACGTTATATATCTCCTTCCACTTTCATTTTTTTTTGTCTTATTAAGTAATTAAGATCTTTTTTTATTTGCGAATGAAAATTAAGATAGTAAAAGGCTTGTTTCGTCACTTGCCAGATCTTATGTTTGGTAATGACACCACTGATAAAATGGATAAATTTGTCAAAGGGCTGGAAGCAGAAAATCGTGTAAAATGAAGTACGGTCTTTTCTGTTCCTGTTTATTTTGTCCATAAAGTTTTCTATTAAAAAGCTTGACAACACATGGTTTTGAGCCTGGCACCGCCACTGTGGGACATGATGCAATATACTAGTTGAAATTCAATTGAAAAGGTTATACCCATATCTTGGAAATTGACAACTAATTTTGTTGACTTACCAAGTGTATATTTGTGGCCTTCCCTCTAAATTGAAAATGACCATGAACAGACTGCACCTACACCACTGGTCTCAAGATTTCAAACCCATGTTTGTGAATCTGTGATGATCAATCGTATTCAAAACAATTTATTTTTCTTCTTGAGAAAACTAATTAGGCAGTACTCCACCCGAATTTGCTTTAGAAGTTTTACTACTTTCCATAATACTAACCGAAACACCAATCAGGAGTAACATCTGAAATGAAAGCCAACCCCGGCATTGATGATGCTCTGCTCGAGTAGCAGTACATCTATGAGTGACCCTCCGAGCGTTCGCTGGTCTCCATTCTCCAACTCCACACCTCCATTGGCGCGCTCCACCTCGCCTCGACCTTCATCACATACGTGCGTGCAGCGTGCAACGGTGCAAGGGAGCGGGCAACAATGGCGCCCGTCTCCTTCCTCGAGCTCTCGCTCTCCTTGCTCTGCTTCCTCGTCTTCTACTACTTCCACGCCAGGTCCAAGCGCAAGAACCCGGTGATCCCGCTGGAGTGGCCGCTGGTGGGCATGCTCCCGGCGCTCCTCGCCAACCTCCCGCGCCTCCACGACTGGGTCACCTCGTTGGTCACCGCCAGCCCGCTCAACTTCCGCTTCGTCGGCCCGCCGCGCTCGGGCATGGAGCTCTTCCTCACCTCCGATCCGGCCAACGTACGCCACGTTTTCACCTCCAATTTCGCCAACTACCCCAAGGGCCCCGAGTTCGCCGAGATCATGGACATCCTCGGCGGCGGCATCTTCAACGCCGACGGCGACTCCTGGCGCCGCCAGCGCGCGAAGGCGCAGCTTCTCATGTCCAGTCCAAGGTTCCGGGCCTTTGTGACACGGTGCAGCCGCCGCAAGGTCGAGCGCGACCTGCTCCCGCTGCTCGCCCACGTCGCCGGCGGCGGCACCGGCGTGTGCGACCTGCAGGACGTGTTCCTCAGGCTGACGTTCGACACGACGACCACGCTGGTGTTCGGCGTCGACCCGGGCTGCCTGGCCATCGGGTTCCCGGAGGTGCCGTTCGCGCGCGCCATGGACGATGCCATGGACGTGCTCCTCGTCCGCAACGTGCTCCCTCCGTCCTGGTGGAAGCTGGTGCGGTGGCTCGGGGTCGGGCACGAGCGGAAGATGGCCGTCGCGTGGCGCGACATCGACCGGTTCATCGGCGACACGATCGCCAAGCGGCGGGAGGTGGTGAAGGCAAGAGGCGGCATCGAGGACTCGGCGGACCTGCTCTCCTCCTACATCGACGACGACGAAGATGCTAGCACGGTCGTCGACGCCTTCCTCCGCGACACGACCATGAACCTCATGCTCGCCGGCCGGGACACGACCGGCTCGGGCCTCTCCTGGTTCTTCTACCTCCTCACGAGGAACCCACGCGTGGTGTCCAAGATCCTCGCAGAGCTCGACACGGTCAACTCCACCACCACCCCGGACGGCATGGTGACCTACGACCCGGACGAGCTGGGGCGGCTGGTGTACCTGCACGCGGCGCTGTGCGAGTCGCTCCGGCTGTACCCGCCGGTGCCGATGGAGCACAAGGGCGTGGTGGCCGCGGAGGCGCTGCCGAGCGGGCACGAGGTGCGGCCGGGGGACAAGATCATGGTGTCGCTGTACGCGATGGGGAGGATGGAGGCGGTGTGGGGCAAGGACTGCCGGGAGTTCCGGCCGGAGCGGTGGATCGGGGAGGACGGCAAGCCGCGGTACGTGCCGTCGTACAAGTTCGTGTCCTTCAACTCCGGGCCGCGGACATGCCTCGGCAAGGACATGGCGTTCGTGCAGCTCAAGGCGGTGGCGGCCGCCGTGGTGAGGAACTTCGAGGTGGAGGCCGTGCCCGGACACATCGTGGAGCCCAAGATCTCCATCATCCTCCACATGAAGAACGGCTTCAAGGCCAGGATCAAGAGGAGGAAGATGCTTTGATTAAATGGTGAATTCGGAGCAATAGTGTGCCTGGTGATCGTGAAAGAAAGATGCATGGAGTCAGCGAATTTGTAGACCGATCGCTGACAAGTGACGCCGCATGTAGCTAGAAGGAAAAATCTAGTGTCGAACTGTTGAATGTATCGTGTTGCCCACTTGGCCAGTAGCAAGTCGTAGTCACTGTTGTCGATCTCAAATCGATCTAGTGTCAACTAGTGGTACTCACTCGGTACTGAAATATGCAACGACCTGGGCTAGGCCCATCCATTGCGCAGCATGTGGCCAGTGGGCCGGCCCGTGAGGCCTGTAATGTACACTACATATAGCAGTGTTGCGTGTGCGTGTGGGGCATGAGGATTGTAATGACTGAATCTCTGTATCCCTAATCCCAGAGCCTTCCTCTGTTCTTCTTCTTCCCCACGCCAGCCGCCTTTGTCTCCAAGCTACCATATCCTGGCGTGACGCAAGGAGTTGCTGCGATTCCGCAGCAGCCCAAATTGATCCGCGTCCTCTAATCCCGAATTTCGCGTTCTCATCGCCAACAGTTCACTCGATGCGGCGATGGCCGAGATGAAGCGGGCACTGGATGGGGTGTACTCCGCGTGGATCAGCTTGAGTGGCTACCAGCGACGGGCACTTCGCAGCCGCCTCCGCCTCCACCGCAACGTTCATGCACACTTCACACTGAAGGACAGAGCAGTCTGCATGCGCCACCAGCGACAGATCAGCGGGCTATTCGTCACAATCGGCAACCACCACCCGGGGGTGAGCAATCTCAGTTCCAATCCCCTATAAGGCTTCGTTCGGTTACACCCAACCCCGCCGAGATTGGGCACCAATCCCCCCCGATCCGCGTGGATTCCAACCGACCGGGGTCCAATCCCGGTCTGCCACCTATGTGCCTTTGGTTAGCCCCTGCCGGGATGAAACCCTGCTCAAGACCCTCCCAAACCACGTGGAAATGACCGGGAAATAACCCTATCCTCCCACCCCGTGGAAAGCAACCCCCGCTTGATTACGCGTTCGCTCTCTCTCTCTCTCTCTCTCTCCCGTCTCTCCCTCTTTTGATTCGTGGCAGCGGAGAAGGGACAACGACAGTGCTATGGGAGGAGACGGCAGCGACACTTTCCCCTCCCCTCAATGAGCAGCACCTCATCTAACGGCAGCGGCGGCGCGAGCTCGGCGGCGACCTGGAGCAGAACCACCGCGAGCTTTATGGCGACCACAACGATCCAATCGCTGGCGTGCTTCTTCCCCGACGGTGGACCGGTAAACCCGCGCTCCTCCTCCTATTTTTCCTTCCCCTCATCCTCTAATTTCTAGGGTTCTTAGTCTGCTTCTTGGATAATGACTTCTGGTTGCTAGGACTAACCGAATAGACTATTATACAGGGATTAGAAGGGATTGTGAGCTAGGTGGTTGGGTGACGAGGTGGGTGTCACCAAAGCCTAAGTGATTATTTCTCGGATGACCATGAGGATCTCGATCACTCCCCTATTTATGGCTACCGGTCGCATCACAGTCGTTTCAAGCCACAGATCCCTCGGTTTGACTTTCCCAAGTTTGAAGGAGAGAACCCGAAATGGTGGAGACAACAGTGCGAGAAATATTTTCGGATGCACAATGTTCAACAGGAACCATGGGTCGATTTCGCGACAATTAGTTTTTTCTGGCAATGCTGCTTTGTGGCTTCAGACTTACGAAGACATGCACACAATTGATAACTGGGCAGCTATATGTGTAGCAGTGTTCACCAAGTTCAACCGCAACAAGTACACCAGAGCGATTGGTGTTTTCTTCTCCCTGAAGCAAACAGAAATAATGGATGCGTATGCACATATGTTCGAGGAACACATGCACAAGATGCTTATGTACAATTAGTCCTACGATGAAACATTTTTCATTAATCGCTTTGTGGAAGGACTCAAACCTGCTATTCGAGCACCAGTTAAATTGCAGCAACCAAGTACTGTGGATTTCGCTTATTCCCTGGCTCAAACACAAGAAGAACTATTGGGTGAGGACACATCTAAATTAGCAAGAAATGGGAACCAGGATACAGCTCCAAACCATATGTGCATCAAGGTCTCCTGAGGGATACACCTGCAGACAAAAGATCAGAAGATCATGCTAAGTTCCCTGACAAGGTGGATAATCTAAGGGCTTAGAGAAGGGCAAGAGGAGAGTGCTTCAAGTATGGGGAGAAATATGCACCGGGCCATAAATGCCCCAAGACTGTTCAGTTGCACGTCATGGAGGAGTTATGGAATGCTTTACAACCATATGAAAATGACTCCACTGGATCTGATAGTGAGCAATCTGAACAACAGCCAGTCAATAAACATGATGATAATTGCATGAAATTATCTGAACAGGCCGCAACTGGGGCATCTTCTAAAGAGTGTATAAAGCTGTAGGGTATGGTTGGCAGACGGCAGTTGCTCATCCTAGTGGATTCTGGGAGTTCCACCAATTTCATCAAAGCCGATCTCGTAAAAAAGTTGAAATGCCCTACAGAGAACATTCCTGCTGCTAGAGTCACTGTTGCCAATGGAGGAAAATTACCATGTAACACTCAAGTGCCCAGTTTACAATGGTTCTGTCAAGGACAAACTTTCACAACTCGGCTGAAAGTTTTACCTCTGGGTACTTATGGTATCATCTTAGGCATGCAGAGGCTCGATACCATGAGTCCTATGTGGGTTGACTGGAGGAAGAAGGTTATGAGATTTAAGTATCAAGGCGCAAGGATTACACTCCGAGGAGTTAGGGAGAAACCCACTCCTTGTACAACTATTTCAGGCAAACATTTACAGGGCCTTCTGAATATTGGGGTAGTTGAGCAAGTAATTCACCTCTGCCACATGGCAGAGCAACCTCTAGCAGAAACATGTATTCCACCTATAGTTCAACCTCTAATTGACAAGCATTCACAACTATTCAATACTCTTGATACTTTGCCTCCTCACAGAGATTTTGACCATCAGATTCCCCTACTACCAGGTGCCAAACCTGTTAGTGTCAAACCATACAGATATAACCCTATGCAGAAACAGGAAATTGAAACACAAGTCTCTGCAATGCTGCAACAAGGATTGATTCAACATAACACAAGTTCCTTTGCCTCTCCAGTGTTGTTGGTCAGAAAGAAGGATGGAACCTGGAGATTTTCTGTGGATTACAGAGTGCTTAACTCTGTAACAATTCAGCATAATTATCCTATGCCCATAGTAGAAGAACTTCTAGATGAACTGGAAGGTGCTAAATATTTCACTAAGTTGGACTTGAAAGCAGGCTATCATCAAATCAGGCTGGTGGAAGGAGAAGAACACAAAACTGCTTTCAAGACCCATCATGGACTGTATGAATTCGAGGTCATGCCTTTTGGCCTGATCAATGCTCCTGCAACATTTCAAGCTGCAATGAACGCACTATTTGCTCTTCTTCTCAGAAAGTGTGTCTTGGTTTTTATGGATGGCATTCTCATCTACAGTGCAACTTTGGAAGAGCATTTGCAACATTTAGAGCAAGTCTTCACCATCCTAACAGACAACCAGTTGTTTATGAAACTGATGCTAGTAAGTGCTCGTTTGCCCAGTAGGAATTGGAATACCTTGGCCATGTCATCAGTGGGAAGGGAGTTCAGACTGATGCAACCAAGATTGTAGCTATTCGAGAGTGGCCAGTCCCGATAAATGTCAAACAAGTCAGGAGTTTCCTAGGCCTGACTGGATACTACAGGAGATTCATTAAGAATTATTCAATTATTAGTAGGAGCTTGTCTGTGTTGGGGAATGTAGTAATTTAAAAAAATCCTACGCACACGCAAGATCATGGTGATGCATAACAATGAGAGGGGAGAGTGTGTCCACGTACCCTCGTAAACCGAAAGCGGAAGCGTTAGCACAACACGGTTGATGTAGTCGTACGTCTTCACGATCCGACCGATCAAGTACCGAACGCACGGCACCTCCGAGTTCTGCACACGTTCAACTCGATGACATCCCTTGAACTCCGATCCAGATGAGTGTTGAATGAGAGTTTCGTCAGCAGGACGGCATGGTGACGATGATGATGTTCTATCGATGCAGGGCTTCGCCTAAGCACCGCTATGATATGATCGAGGTGGATTATGGTGGAGGGGGGCACCGCACACGGCTAAGAGATCAAGAGATCAATTGTTGTGTCTATGGGGTGCCCCCTGGCCACGTATATAAAGGAGTGGAGGAGGGGAGGGGCCGAACCTATCTATGGCGCGCCCTAGGGGAGTCCTACTCCCACCGGGAGTAGGATTCCCCCTTTCCTAGTAGAACTAGGAGCCCTTCCAAGTAGTAGGAGGAGAGAAGGAAAGGGAAAAAAGAAGAGAAGGAAGAAGGGGGCGCAGCCCTTCCCCTTAGTCCAATTCGGACTAGGCCTTGGGGGGGGGGGCTGCCTCTCTCTCTTTCTCCTAAAGCCCAATAAGGCCCATACACTCCCCGGCGAATTCCCGTAACTCCCCGGTACTCCGATAAATACCCGAATCACTAGGAACCTTTCCGATGTCCGAATATAGTCATCCAATATATCGATCTTTATGTCTCGACCATTTTGAGACTCCTCATCATGTCCTAGATCTCATCTGGGACTCCGAACTACCTTAGGTGCATCAAAACACATAAACTCATAATATAACCGTCATCGAACTTTAAGCGTGCGGACCCTACGGGTTCGAGAACTATGTAGACATGACCGAGACACGTCTCCGGTCAATAACCAATAGCGGAACCTGGATGCTCATATTGGCTCCTACATATTCTATGAAGATTGAGGGAGTCCTGGATTAGGGGGTATCCAGACAGCCGGATTATATCCTTTGGCCGGACTATTGGATTATGAAGATACAAAATTGAAGACTTTGTCTCGTGCCCGGATGGGACTCTACTTGGCGTGGAAGGCAAGCTAGGCAATACGGACATGTATATCTCCTCCTTTGTAACCGACCTTGTGTAACCCTAGCCCCC